TGCTGTTGCCGTTGCTGCGGCAGTTGGCAGGTGGCATTAAGGCAGCTTAGTGCTGCGAAAATAGAAATATTAAAAGCTGCTACCTGACTGCCACATGCCACATGCCACATGCGCGTAACGTAACTGTGGCCATGCAACCAAAAAAAATGTCACACAAATATGTGGCACATCCAGAAGGTGCCCCCGCAGCAGCACAACAGCCATCATCATGGTTGCCCGAAAAGGATTTATGCTTTGCAGCAGAAGCAGCAGCAACAGCACTTTTTATGTTATGACAATGACAGGCACAATCACACACACATACACACACACACACAAACACAGGCAGACAAACACACACATAAACAAATTTATGCTCGGCCAGGCTCAATGTGCATTAGACAATAACAATGATGCCCTGTAGTCATAGAATTTTATAGAGGGAGTATTAGATAGTTGAACATAGCTTTTTATAACAAGAGGGAACCATAGATAAAGTTGATAAGTTCTATATATGTAGATATATATACACTATATTGAGTATAGTTACAATATAGTATATATCGACCTCGATACATGCCCCACTGCCATCACAAAACAATAGTTATATAATCATATATCATATATCATATATCATATATCATATATCATATATCATATATCATATATCATATATCATATATCATATATCATATCATATATCATATATCATATATCATATATCATATATCATATATCATATATCATATATCATATGATATCATATAATATATCATATCAGAGTACAAGTATAGGTATTATATATGCAACAATATATAAGGAAATAAACTTATGTATCTCAATATCAAAAAATGATAATTTTCATATCAATTGACCATAATAACTACAATTCTTAAGATATTCCCAAGATTTTTGGCACATAACTTTCCGCACAATCATTTAATAAAGAACATTTGAGATATTGTTTTCCAATCCCCTACTTTATTTTTTAGCCACTCTCAAATTCATCAGACCCCTCGGTATTATGACCATTTATTATTTTATGCAACTGCCGGCTGCAATAGGCCACAGTCCGTGGCTCGAACCAGCCGAAACCACAATCAGACTGTTTGCCAAATGCACTTGAAAAATGTTGTCAACCAGCTGCTGGCAACATTTGAAATGTGTTTGTATTAAATAGAAGCCCCGACTAAATAAAATTATGTTGATTTTGTTGAACGCGTGGCCACACAACTCGAGTTGAGAGTAAAAATATACTTATGCTTATGCATGAAAACTTGTGAAGAAACTTGCCTCTCAAGGATGCTTCAAATTATGCTCTGTTCCTTCAGCTCCGCCTTCGCTTTAAGTCATGTCTATATGTATATATATAAATATGGGCTTATAGTGCTCGGTACTTATTGAATGTGCAACTTTAGGAGACGTTAACAGGACTCGCGCACGCTTTTATACAATTTATATAATAAGCGGAAAATAAAATGAAGAGGAAGCAGCCGCAGCAACTGCCAAGTTCTTCAAGTCAAATAAAATGCTTAAAGCAACGTATACAAGAAAAACAGAAACAAAAACAAAACAATTTCTTGCAAGCAAGTGAAAAGTGCGGCAGTTGACAGAGATGAGCAGGGGTTACGGCTTAATGCCAGCTATGCGGGTTTAAATCGAATATTTTTATGCATTTAAGATACTAGGATATAAGTATATAAGAAATAAAGAAATACTCCGCAAGTAAGGAGTTCTTATCATGTCCAGTACAGATGATTGGCGTTTTGTGGCAGAAATTCTCAATATTATAAAGTTGACTTGTAGTACAGAAACCTTTTTAAACACGAAACAGTGTCCTCTAACAGACAGACAGACATACAACCTGAGTTTGTGACTGACCAACTGACTGACTGTCTGATTGACTGACTGACAAACTAATTGAGTGATTAATTGATTGACACACTTACTTTCTGGCTGATTGATCGACTGACTGACTGATAGACTGATTGACTGACTGTCTAATTGACTGACTGACAAACTGCTTGAGTGATTGATTGACTGACTGACAAACTGCTTGAGTGATTGATTGACTGACTGGCTGATTGATTGAATGACTTGCTGATACACTGCCTGATGGACTGATTGACTGACTGTCTGATTGACTGACTATCTGATTGACTGATTGTCTGATTGACTGACTGTCTGATTGACTGACTCTCTGATTGACTGACTTACCGACCGAATGACTTAACAACTAATTCTTTATAATAATTGTTTTCAAATCGGCTTCTTAGCTTTTAGATGTTGCTATTGTTTACAACCATTCAATCATATAGGCATGTTCTATATGCATATGCTTTATATTATTTATTTCTGATGCCATTGATTACGCGCTCATCTTTGCTGCGGCACGCCCCAAAGACACACACACATACACTTGCACACACACATATAGCAAATGTTATCACATCATGTTTATCGCAAGGATGCAAGTAAAGGCTAAGGACGCGTAGCTGGATTTCTGCGACAATTCCCATTGTGGCAAAAAATGGTTAGTGTCGAGCGTTTCTTGCTTTTGGCTTTGCCATGTTGACGTCCCCCCCCTCTCACCAACCCCCTTCCTCCCTCTTATTGTTATTGTTGTTGTTGCGATGACGCCGTTTTGGCTGTTATTATGCTTGGCATTATCATTGTATCGTCCTTGGCTGTCGCCCCGCGCAGCAGCCGCAGCTGACTTTGGCAATTTTTATTGTCCAAGTTCTTGGCATGCGGGGCGTTAAGGGTTGACGCTGGCTTGCAACTGGGCCAGGATGTGCTTGGCGTCTGGCGGTCGCGGCGCCAAAGTTTTTTTTTACGACCTCTGTCAGATAGACGACGACCCCGACTACCCACGCGTGGGTCTATGCTGCTTGCCAGGATTGATTGATAAGCTTTTTGTAAACACTAGCAAAACAGTCAAGATGTCCTGATTGTTCTTGTTGTTGTTGTTGATGTGGTTGTTGACGACGCGTTTGCGCTTAGATTTGCAGAGATTACGCATACGTTGCGTTGGCTGCCGCAGTTAAATGTTTAAGAGGCAACGCAAAACCAGCTGAATTTTCAGTTATCCTTACTGCAGCAGCTGCAAGTCTCCTGACAAGGACATTAACATGCTGCACGTGTTGCTGCTGCTGCTGCTGCTGCTGCTGGCCATAAAAACAACAAACAACAACGGGAACAGCTTGCAAAGGTTGCCAATAAAAAAAACAGTGCGCCACTAATTTGAAGCACGTTAAAAGTTTTATGAACCACCGGGCCAAAGTTAAATATGCAGCTAATTACGTGTGTTACATTGTGTAAATAAATGTGTATTGCTGTGTGTGTGTGGACAAGCTAATTGCATTTTTAATCGCGCTATACGACTCCTTAACGATCCTAAGCAAAGCACTTGAAGCCCAGTGGAATAGCCACAGCCAACTACAACAAATCAGCAAAGCTTATGAATATAGTTTTAATAAGAAACAGAAGAAAAAACAGTATCTAAACTTGGGATATTAAAAAAATTTAAGAGTTCAGCATGTTATCGATAGCAAAAACTATCGATTGGTTTTTAAATGTAAATAAAGTTTATTTGTATGCCCCAAAAGAAGAAGAAGTTATGCGGAGAGCTGTCAAGCAGCGACCTAGAGAAGTGTGATTTATATCAATGCCAAGTTATCGATAACTATAATCGATAGTCACGCCGAATTCAAGTTATCGATAACAATACGCATCGACAGTCACACAGACGCATTTTACCTGTCTGCCCCATATTAGGCTTATAATGTTAAATAATATAAAATACTTTATCGACGTGCGTCAGTTTATATTTTTAAGCACTCCAGCTCCACACGATCTTGTTTTTTTTTTTGGTGTTGTTTTGCAGTTGAGCTGGCGGCATCGCATTTTTTACGCGGTTTATGACACAAGTGAAATATAATTCATATTGCACGAAAAAAAATATAAAGAAAATTTTAATGCCGCCTGAAAAATAACGTCCAATAAATAATCCTTAATGTGCCTTTGTGTCCCATGTCCTGTGGCACAACATCGCTGTGTGCGTGTGTATGTGTGTGTGTGTGTGTGTGTGTGTATGGATGTGTGTACCCGCTAACAGCTCCTCCTACCCAAACTTCTCCTCCTCCTTCCCCCTCTCCTTATAAATTATATTTTGCTCGTATGTTGCCCCGCGTGTGATTTTGTTTTACACGTCTCTTGTTTCTGTTGTGGCTTTAATGTTGTTGTAACCACAGTCGCCCATTCATATGTATATATATTGTGTTTTTATTTTGTTGTTGTTGTTGTGTTGTTGTTGTTGTTGTAGTCGTTGCGGCCATCAAGTCCTGACAGTGTTATGACGCGGCTTGTCGCGGTTGGCACCTAGCAAGTGAAACATTGCCACGGCAAATTTGTCAGCTTTTCATCGCGAACAGCAACAAAGTAATAAATTGCCTGATTTTCCGGTTATTTTTTTGCCTCTTTCGACTTTTTTCATATTTTTTTTTTTGCATAATTTTATGAATGACACTGGCTTACGAGCACATCAAGGCTAGACGCACACATAATTGTATTGAGCTCTTACAATTTAGCCCAACAAAAGCTTTAACGAGGCGTGAAAGTAGTATTGAAGTCATATAAAAGCTTCAAGTGTAAAATAATCATGTTAATGCTTGAATGAAGTGGGTTCTATTGAAAGCTTTAAGCGTAAAGCTTAAATATAATGAATTTTGTTAACAGATTAAAACTTGAATTCGGCTTATTAAGCTCATGTAAAAGCTTCAAGTCTCAAGTAATCATGTTAAAGTTTGAATGAAATACGGTTTATTGGAATCGTTAAGCTTTAATAAAAAACATGTTAAAGCTTGAATAAAGCTAATATGTTCAGCTTTCAAAGCATCAAGTCTAAAGTAATCGTATTTAAGCTTAAATGAAATAAGTTGTATTGCAAGCTTTCAACTTGCAAAGCTGCTTATTGAAGTTAGCTGGAATGGCTGCTTTAACACACCTAAATAAAATAAAAGTTTTCATTTTTTTGCGATAGCTACAGAACCATTAAAGCTTCTGGCAGTCTTAATTGTAATGATGCTTACAATTAAGCCCACTAAAAGCTTACATCTGCGCTTTATTCAGTTCCACCGGCACATTAGCTAGTGTCACTGCAGCTGCTCAGAGCAACCCTTCAGCTATTTGTGATTAATTATTCAGGTGTTTGCCTAGCCTCGAAACGACACCAGAAAAGCTCGCGCGGCTGCATCCGGAAGCCCTCAATGCTGGCCATCATGTCCAGCGGGGTGCGCTCGGTGGGCAGCAGTCGAAAGCGCAGCACCAACTGATAGATGAGCGACTTGACCTCCATCAGGGCCATGCGATTACCGATGCAGCTGCGCTGGCCCACGCCGAAGGGCATATACGTAAAGGGTCGAATCTCATGTTTGTGCTCTTTGTCAAAGCGTTCGGGTCGAAACTCGTCCGGCTGGTCAAAGTTATCCGGATCGTAATGCAGCGCCACAACGGGTATGTGCACCAGATCATCCTTGCTAAGCTTCAACAGCAGCTCCCCCGCCTCGTCGCGCAGCTCAAAATCCGCGGCACACATGCGATCGATGATTATGGCGGGCGGCCACTTGCGCAGCGATTCCGAGACGATGCAATCCAAATAGTTCATGCCCATGAGGCTATCGTAGTCCAATGGTTTGCCCGCCAGCTGCTGCTCCACAGCCAAAATCTCCTCGTAGAGCTTCTGCTGCACATGTGGATTCATGACCAGCTCGTAGCTGGTGAAGCTCAAGCAGGTGGAGACTGTCTCAAAGCCGGCAGAGAAGAATAACAGGCACTGTGCCAGCAGATCCACATCATTGAACTCTGCGGCATCTTTGTCCAGATCCTGCTCCAGCTGCTGCTGCTCTCTGAATAGACGCTGCGCCTCCATCAGCTGTTGAATCATATCCGGACGCACTATGTGCTGCTCGCGGCGCTCCTGCATGGCGCCAAATACCAAACGCTTGAAGTAGGACACATTGTTGAGATCCATGACAGGCACACGCAGCGCCTGAACGAGTAGCGGATTAAGAGAGCGGGCCTTAAAAACCAACCATTTGGCGCGTTAACCTTACCTTCATGAGCCTGGGCATTAGTATATAGAGCAGCACCTTGATGCCGCCCCAGAAACTGAACTGGGAAACACGCTGTCCGAGCATAAAGAACTCATTTTCCTCATCCACGAAGCTGTTGACCTGTATGCCAAAGGCAGCCGTAGCAATCACATCGTTGGTATAGCGCGTAAAGAACTCCTTGAGCTCCAGTTCAATGCCCTCGCCTCCGCCAGCCTCCAGTTTGCGTTCCACATAACGCACCGCCTCCACATTGCAGGCGTTGATCAGCTCGAACATGAGGCGTATCTTGGCGCCCGTAAAGCTGGGTGTCAATGTGCTGCGCATCTGTTTCCAGCGTCGATCGCGTAGGGACAACAAAGACTTCGAAAAGACGGAGCTATCACCGGTGTCGTGTTCATCTCCAATGCCCTGGCGATGGTTGGCAAAGTTCTCGAAATGCTTGATGCCCACCTGACGTATCAGGTCCGCATCCGCCAGATAGTAGAGCGGCTCGCGTAGATTGTACACCCCATACACCTTGTGCTGCTTCAGGCGCTGATGCAGCTCAATGCTGTGCCGCACATAGGAATCCCTGCCGAGCATTACCGAGAGCGGCACATTGCCAAGCAGCGGCAGTGGCCGCTCATGTGCCACGCCTCTACGCCGAAAGTAAGCAAAACTGGATACCGACCATTTGTAGAGCAGCGCGCCAAGAAACGTGAGCAGAAAGAACAGTTCGACGAGCGCCATTGGGCCAAGAGGGTAGCGGGGTGGCTAATTTAAAGCGCGCTCAATTCAACTCCCGTGCACTTTTGTCTGCGTCTTACACAGCCGACCGCTGAAACGCCACTAAACGTAACAGCTGCTTGTACTCTCCCATAGAGCCGGCAAATGCTGTGCTTGTATTGGTGAGCGCAGCTACTGAACGAAACAGCAGTGGGAGAATAAGCAGTAGCAGCGCGAGCATAACAGAAGAGCGTAGCAGAGCGAGCACGTGACGAGCGCGAGCGAGCAAAGGGAGAGAGAGGTCAAAATAAAGCGAGCAGCAGCAAGTTTATTTTTTCTTTCGTAAATAACAAGCTAATAACTATTTAAACAACGAATTATGCAGAGAGGCGTGTTAATCGAAAAGGCATTGATAGCTGGCTAAACATATTTGAAATATTTAATATTATTAAATGCAATTACGTAAGTCAATAAGGCACAGGATTAAATAGTTTTTATCAGCAACCAATATGCATGTGCATAAATGATCAACGGCTCTCTCTCTCTCTCTCTCTCTGTTAAGCTTAGTGTGGGTGTAATAAGTTGTAGTGGGGAGAAGTCCGAGCAAATAACACTAATGACTGAGCAAAAGTGGGAGATAAACATAATTGATAAAGTAAATTGCTTTCATGCACGTACACTGCAAAAAATAAAGTACGTAAATTGTGCTCCAACGCAAGTAATGCAAATTCAAGTATAAAGCTTTTGGGGCAACGAGGAGGGTTTACTATAGGTGCTAAATGCGATAGCTTTAAGAAGATTCGACTTGAAACAAGCTTAAAGAACATTGGCATTATTTTAAGATTATAATACAGAGATTTGAGGAAAAGAAATTTTATATGCATTATGTCAATTTCATTTGAATATTTACAATAAGCTTAGGCAAAAATTGTAATGTAAGGGGGAAAATTTGTCATTTAATTATGAACCTCTTTGGAATTCTCTTGAATTACCAGCAAAGCTGGCTACTTCACAACAAAATTCATTTACGCATGTCAAAGGGAAGCCAACCGCAAATTATGAAATACTTCTGCAGCTGACAGATTTCATTTCTAAAGCAATACAAATTAATCTGTAATCCTGTCGCAAATCTAATATTCAGCATGTGTGCGGCTGTGACGGCGAGTCCCAACTGATTTGTTCTGGCAAACTGTCAGCAGCCATTGCCATCAACTAATTTTAACATTAATCCCCTTAAGTGACTCAACTATTTATTATAAAGGACTTGGCAAACAAAGAAAACCGTACAAACACACACATAGACACATTCGCAAGAGATGACAGCAGGTGCAGCTCTGGGTGGCTACGTGCCCAAATTCAAAATCAAATCCAAATCCATTGCCAAGACGACCTGCGCTCCGAAATGAAATGAAAGTTTTGCCACTCGCTGGGCAAAGCTTTGAAACTGATCCAATACTTGATTATGAGCGGGCAGTTACAGGAGTTCAGTTAAGCAACAATAGGAAAACCTAACCTCAAAATGAACCGTTATGTTCAACTTGAATTTCCCTCAACTTTGAGGTTAAGTTGTGCGTTTGCCGTCTAATGATAAGTTTTTTTTAGTTTATACTTTGCAGACAATTATTAAAAGTTGTCACATTTATATCGCCCAATTCATGAACTTTAAATATATATACTTTACATTGAATATAACTTTTCTTCGACTCAAACCAAACTGTTATATTTGACTTGAATTTCCCCTAAATTTGAGGTTAAGTTGTGTAGTTAAATGTTTTCACATTTATATCGCCCAACTCTTGTATTTTAAATATATGCATAGACTTTATATTGAACAGAACTTTTCTTCGACTTACCCTCGCATATTGAAAAATCCTTTAGCTGTTCGACTTTGGCCGCAGCTTTCACTTTTGCGCATATTTCCATTCAGAGATTCAGAGCGGCGATTCGTTTAAGTTCTTTGGCCAAGAAAAAAAAAAAAAAAAAAAAACTGGGAAAGCTTTGTGTAATCAAATCACGTCTGAAACAAATGACAAAATTTGGTTGCATTTAGTGAATATTTAGTGCGAGCATGGATGTGTGCGTATATATATATATATGTGTGCGTGTATGTGTGTGTGCGTGTGTGTGTCTCTGTGTGGGTGGAAATTGGACACGCGCCAAGCGCTGGAAATTATTGGCATGATGGCCGAGAAACGAGAGTCAACCAGAGAAAATCTTCAAAAATGCAAATGCCATTTGATTTGCCTGCCCCCCCATCTATCATCCATCTCGCCTGCTGCCCGGCTGCGTGCTTATCGCAATTGCAATTCGCATAAGCGTTAAGCAGCAAAAATAAGTGTGTTCAGCACACCGGCAATAAGTGTTTGTATCCAGCAGCTGCTGGCTTTATTGTTAGGCAAATATTTCGGCCAGAAACGAAGCGACGACACCAGAAATAAAACTTCGGCCACAAACAGAGCCAGGTTGCACAGCAAGAAAGCGAATGGGAGCCCAGCGATATGCCAGAGAGATATCTAATGTGTTTACATTGGCAGCAGACCAACAAAGAGCAAGAAAACTTGATAAAAATAACAAAAAAAAAAAAAAAAAAGCAAAATTTCAGCATGTACTTGAAGTATTTTTTTTCTTTTTTTTTTTTGTACACTTCATCGCCGTGTCCTGCTATCGGGCGGTCGGTCACAATGTCCATATCCATGTCCTGCCGGCTGTCGCACGTTGTCCTCAGGTCCTCAGGTCTTCGGAATTGGCCATGCTCGTTGTCCTGATGTTTTCGGTTTTCTCTGTTTGTGTCTGGGTTTCTTCTATTTCTTTTTCTGTTTCTGCGTTTTTTCTCAGTTCGTCTTTTCTTTTTTTTTTGCCATGCTTTCTGTTTTATGTGCCATTTCCATTAGAATTCAAGTGCCGCAAGACTTGAAAGTGAACTGGCCCTCAAGGCTGCTCGTTAAGTGCGGCTCGCAGGCAGCCAAGCAGTCGCTCTCCAACCACATTTGCTGATATGCGCTTTTATCAGCTGGCGGCGCTTGCCTTGCTCCTGGCTCTGGCCAAATCAAATATCGCATCAAAGCAAATGCTGCTCTGTGGCATTTCTACCAATTAGTCGAAATATTTTGCTTTAATTAATTGCGACTAATAACTGCTCTTCAATACGAATGAACAACAACAACATAACCACACAGCAGCAACAACAACAATCACACGGACAACAACAAACCATGCGACAGCGCAAACATTTGCTTAGCTTCATGTAAATTTTACCCTCTGGCTAAGTGGTTTGTGTGCATGTTTGTGTGTGTGTGTGTGCTTTTATGTATAAACACGCACTTGGCATATTTCTTAAATAATGTTTATCTCCTTTCGAGTGCCAGCTGCCCTTTAAACAAAAATGCCACACATTTCGAGAGCTGCCCCCACACTTTACTTCTTGCTAAAGCTCTTCAACAAGAACTTGGATAATTTGTTTGTTAGATTTTCATTACAAGTGTGCCAAAATTTGAGCTCGTTTAAAGTATTTAAGAGCTGTTGCTGTTTTTCTATATTTGTTATTTCTAACTAAAATTCAAGCTAACCCAATTTATTGCCCGGAGTCCCTGCTCGGGCGCCAGGCATAGGTTAGCTTCTAAGCATCGTATATGAAGGACTCGGGCCAAGTATCTGCGACCCGTTCGAGTAAATAAAATATGTTGGTTATTTGGCGCGTTTCATAACCTTAAGTAAGTTATTGCTTAGAGTTCCCAGCTGGGGCGCCTCTAGACTCGTACGAGCTGTAAAATATTTGTAGTTTTGCTTTTGCTTCTTGAAGGCATAAGCTGCTCACGACCTGATTTTCATTGCAAATGACTTATCAAAATGCGAGCTATTTCAATGCCCATTCTTGACTCTTTTTTATGCAACTCGATGTGGCACTCGTTTAAGCCGTTTACGCTGTGAGACTGTGAATCAAGCGCAGTTCTTATGCCGTTTATAAGCACATTACGTATACGCCGAGTGGCGCGCTGTGAAATAAAACAAAATAGCAGCTGACCAAAGGATGCCGCTTGGCAACGTTCACGTACTCCAAATCCGCTTTGAATAACTGCTTATTGGAATGCCAAAAAAAAAAATGAATATATATCTATGTATGTACATGCATATATATTTCGTTGATAATCGCGCAATAAAAGCCTTACCAACTGCATAATGGGCAAATCCTTTTGCACGCACAGCACCAGAAATAACTACAGATGTGTGTGTTTGTTTTGAATATTAATTTATGGCTCTTGTGGCAATTTTCTCGATTTTATATCGTTCTAATATCGCATGGAAACAAAAGCACAAAGAACGGCGCATGCCAAAATGCTGATTTTAAATGTTTATATGGGTTTTGACTACGAAATTTATGATGGAAAACAAAAGCTAAACGCAAACGCACAAAAATGATTGACCACATATTGTTTTTTTAATACCCTAGCAGCTATTGAAGTGGTAGCAGAAGGTATTCTCAAGTATAGCAAATGCTATTCATAACTCAAATATCTTCTCATATTGTACAGACAACATCTTGGCAACATCGGACTACTATATCATATAGCTGTCATAGGAATGATTGGTCGAGAATTTTGTAGATATCTTGAGAATATTCGGCATATTGAAGTTTTACTATGATCTCTACAAATACGCAAAGTCCTATTCACATCTGACTGCTATAACATATATCTGTAGACACTAAAAGAAGATTCTTGTATCGAAAACTTTATTTGAAGCTAGCCAAGTATACCCTACCAATGTACTGAGTATTTCCCAGCACTCGACTCGATGCAAGCTTTTCTGACTTGTTTTTTAGTTGTTATGAAGCCGGAAAATCCTTTGCATGCAATAAATTAAAATGCAAGCCCAAAAAAACACATCTGCATTAAAATATTAAAATCTAAATTTATAGTGAAACATATATGTTGAGAGTCGGTTATTGATTCGTTGGCCGCCTCGAGGAGTGGGTAACGAGAGAGGCCCTTTCCCTTGCCTGGAGACACACCTGTGAATACGTGACCTTTCAATTTATGCGAGCATCGAAGCAAATCGAAAACATTTTTTATGCCCGCATAAAATTTATGACCAGTCGCCAGTGGGCCTCCCACAGCATATATCGACATGACTGTGCCACATACCACCACATACTGCCACAGAGTCCGACGTATTGCCCTCCAGTTCCTCGCGCTCTCTTGTGCCTCATTCGATTTTCCGTTTCGCCTGCAGCATTTTGAAATTTGTCTGACAAATATTTGCCTGCCGGCGCTGGCGATAAAGCGTTTTTCGCGATGCCCTCCACAAAACGCTGTCACGGTCAGTGGCTCGAGGCTTCGAGCCCCGTTGACGGGTTTGGGCGGGCTTTGATATAGGCGACCATTTTGTGAATATATCGACATTGAACTCACGCTTTAAACGAACAATTGTTCTTGCTAGACTTAACCAGCCGGCAATACAAAAACCCAATTTACGTCGGAATGTCTCTGGGCGAGCTAAGCGCAATTTCGCTTAAAATTCTCAAATGGTATTGGTCTCGACTTGGGGGCTTCGATATAGGCGAGCATATATTGAAATTGAGTTCACGCTTTAAGCTTTCCAATTGTTCTTGCCAGACTTAACCAGGCGGACATACAAAAACCCAATTTTCGTCGGAATCTCCCTAGGCGAGCTAAACGTATATTCGCTTATAATTCTCAAATGGTTTTGGTAATGCAGTTAACTGCAAATTGACTTTTGCTGGCCTAGTTTTTCTGACTGCGAGCCTCAGACAACTAGTCGTTAGTTAGCTGGACAGTTTGAGTCACAAATCACAGTCACATACCAGGCTCAACACACACGCACACACACACTAGCGCACATGTGGTGTGTGACTGGCAGATGTATGATAGCACTCTGCTGTGTTTGTGTGTGTGTGGGTTCGTGTGTGCACACTCATTCAAATTTATGCCTAAGCGCTGATTATGACAAATATGCCACGCTTCACTGGCAGCGATTCGCCGAAGGGGCAACGGGACGCGGGGCACGACCCAGAAAGTCGACCCCATAAAGCGCTTATTGTGTTTCGCTTGGCCTGTTTTTTGCCTTCTGCTCGGTCATTTTACGCAAATCCCAAAATAAATACAAGTCTTATTATTAGCATCAGGCACACAGGATACACACAGTCGCGCCCCAAATAAATAAAATAAACCAAAAGCAAAAATAAAATAAAAGCCAGACGGGAGGGGAGGGAGAAACTCCTGCCCCACCTGCTACCCTACTAATGACACATATCATCATGGAGAGCTGTGCTGAGGGCTTCTCTGGGCATCCCGACATGCGAGGCGATGCGTGTCAACAATTATAATGTGCAAATTGTTTGATGTATGTCACCTGCCACATTTGCTTTATTGCCGCTCATTAGAAATGCTCAACGAGCACCTTTAACAGGGAGACAAACAAAATAAAAAATAAATAAAATACAAATACAAATACCAACTCACACATACGCACAAGCCCACCCACAAAGCCAAACACAGACACACACACACACACATATCAACAACGGATGACAACAATGACACCTTCCATTAATAGCTGTTTCGTTGATGTGTGTAATACTGACATACACTGCGAGAAAATCTAACGAGTAAAAATACTTTTAAATGTTACAGAACAGATCCCTTTATAAGGCGTACATCATATTGCTGTTAACATTCATTCATTTAAATTTATTAATTGTTAATTTCTTGTTTTGTCTTTTTTTGTAAATAGAATTATTACATGCAGTAGACATGGATTAGAACCAGCGAATTTCCGCTTGATGGTCCTAACTTGAAGGGAAGGGTATTTTATTTTATGAACAACTACACATATAACTATAGAAAAGAGTTCCTGAGTTTGAACCAGAGACCTTGCACTTGGTAGTACTATCTAGCAGAATTCCAAAGCAGAATACAAATTTAAGAACATTTATCGCCACGAAAATGCCATTTAAGTTAAAAAAGTTTCTACACATTTTGAGCAATGTATGTGTACGTTTGCCTTTAAGACGTATTAGTTTTGCCACAGTTCGAAGCGAAGCCCGCCTCATGTCTTATGGAGGTTTAGCTGCGATTAATGACAGCACATCACAAAGATTTCGCTGGTTGGCTTCAACGGGGCAGAGGGCAATTCAGGGGCCGGGGTCAACTGCTGTGACATTGTGATGAATGGAAACACTTGCGGGGCGTAGCCACCGTTCCGTGTACATGGAATTTATGTGAACTGTATTCTCGCGTTGTATATGCCTGAAAGAATAGCCGAACAGCAATTTGGGCACATGATTTTGCATACAAATTGTCCTGCAGGATAATTGTGAGATGGTGGGTATTCCATTAATTTGTTGACTTGCATGGAATGGTTGTCAGCTGTTAAGCACAAATATTACGTATACGCCGCACAATTGTTAAAAGCAATTTCGGACCATATCTGGGCATGAAAACAATCAGCGAGCTTAACGAAATGATGGAACCCAAAAAACCAACAATGGCATCCATAACTAAGCCCAGCCTAGCCCCAAACAAAAACAAACAAAACAGAAACTCACAACCACACACAGATACAGGGGAAAAAAAAAGTGAAAAAAGGATTATTTTTGATTATTTTGCGTGCCACAAAACAAATTCGTCGCTTTTTTTTGGCCATTGTTAGTGCTCGGCCTGGTTGGAGCAAAACGAGATAACATTCAAGCCGACTTTCTGCCTAAATAACACAAAAAAAAAAAAGGGGGAAAATGTACTGGAGCGGTTTTTAATGGAGCTAGTAACAAGCGAAATGAATGAGCCGCAACCGGCTGCTCTTCATTTCAATGAACGAAATTGTATCATGACCGGACGAGGAGGACGACGCATTTCTCTTCTTCGGGTTTCAGATGCTCAGTAAATTATATTTTATCAAAGGGTTGCTTTAACCTGAAGTGCATTTAAGGGACATACAAAATGTTGCGATTATCTGAATAATTTATAATTTAAATAAAAATGGTCAATCAAGCAGTGTTAAGGAACAGCAGCCATACAGCAAGGTGTGCTAAATCAGTGTGGACCAAAAGTATACAAGCTACCAGGCATGCTATGACGAAAATAGTGCTAAGTAACAGTAGCCAAACAATAAGGTATGCTAATACAAATACAGTGTTGAGTAGCAGCAAACTAACTGCAAGGTTTGCAATAACAGTGTTGAGTAACAGTATGTAGTTAAGCAACTCTGGAAAGAGCAAATTTACTAGATTTTAATAACTAAAGTTAGTTTTCAGCTTGCTAGAAAAAGCAAAAAAAAAAAAACAAAGTGATTAGGTTTATATTTTGCTCAGAGCTCCAAGTAATTATTGGCAGCAAATCGACCAGTGTTGAGTAATAGTGATAACAGGGTTGAATAAGAAATTATACAGATTTTTGAAAGCTGAAGCTAATTTAGCACAACTTTGCTTTACTCAAGCTGACAACTGTGTTCATGGAACAGTCTCCAGTGCTTGTTCAGAGTAGAGTAAAGTGTTTAAGGAATGTAGAGGCTCCATAGAAGCACATAGTAGCACCTAGGGTATACCCAAGTCGATATACTTGTTACACACACGCACAAGTTGAAAGCCAGCCAAGTAATATGAATAACAAAAAGTCCTTATGCGTGTGGACTCGAGCGGCAACAAATAACAAGAAAACGAAGAATAACAACAACAATAACAACAACAACAACAAAAAAAGCGATAACAAAGTATAAAACGAAATGCTCAGCGTGTGCATTAAACAAATCTAAGGCAACATTTTCACAAAAACTTGCTTATTTTGCTCAATATGGTGCGAATGCTCTCTAAGCTCTCACACTCTATCTTCTCTTTGCTACAGACATACAATCCTTGTGGCTAACGAGCTGGTTTGGCTCCCACAACAACAACAACAACAGCAGCAACAGCAACAGCAACAGCAACAACAAAAACAGAAGAAGGAAGCAGCAAAAAGACGCCGGCGCTGTCGATGCTGGCGTTTACACGCTACAACAGCCGCATAAATTTCCGCTTCAATTGGACGTGTACGGCGGTAATTGCAGCTTTGATTACCAGCAACACGAACTGCCATCCGGACATTACCAACAACAGCAGCAACAACAACACCGACAACGACAACTAGAACGCGCCGCATCAGCAGCTCAAGAGCAATCAACACTTTCCATACAGCATCTAAAACAGCTGAAAAATCAGGGCAAACGGCAGCAGGAACAGCAGGCGAAGCAGTGGAGATTTTTAAGAAATTCCTCCGATATTAACGAGACGAAATTTATTGAAAGTTCAGCGGGTAATATTAAATAACAACAACATTAACAACAACAGCGAGCACAACAACAAAACGCAACTGTAGCTGCTTGAACGTATTTCCATCAATCAGAATTTAAATGAATTTTCTTTTATTTTTATTATTATTATTTTTGCTTGCCTCTTGAAAAGTTGAAATGAGCGAACAGCAGGCGTTCCCATGCAGCATGCGGCATCAGAATCAATGTATAATTGAGGGCAACAGAAATTTGCATACTTTTATTATTTGCGCGCATATTAAACGAATTTTCAGTTTGTGGCGCCCACAAAAGTAGGCTACAACATTTGAAATTATTAAATAAGCACATGAATCTTCAATGAAAAATTTAACTGAAAAGTCAGCTTGAAAACTCCGTGAAGCTTAAAGTGAAATGTGAAAGGAAGACAACTATTTTGTAAACAGACAAAGCATGTTGCATGTGGCCCATTCGAAAGGCGAATTTATGTTTGGAGTTTTTACGGGAGAGAGTTTACTGAAACACAAAGATATATTATGTTTCTTACAGTAAACACTTTTTTATGGTTTTTCTTTGGCTTATTTAAAATAACGTACTTTATTAAGTTTTTTCGGTTAAATAAAATATATTGAGAAAAGCTTTAGGGAGCATTTTGGACAGATGGCGATTTGGATGAGAAATGAAAAGCAATTCCAGCACTTTTGAATGACAAAAAACTTGTTTAAAGATTAAGAGCACAGTAAAAAAAAATATTTTTAAAGAAAGCGCTTCATATGAGCTTTTGGGAATGCTTTTAAAATTATTGAACATTAAAATGAGTTCTCGAAGAACAAACACATGATTTCCCAGAGGTTTCCGCTGTTTTTAGTAGAGCAAAGCAAAGAGTTTTATCTCACAGTTTAAGTGCTTATTTTAGCGTCTTAATATTTTCCTGGAATTACTAAGCCGTTAAATTGAAATGCAAGAAATATTTCTTTATTTATTGTCATGCCAATTAATTCGATAATTTTGTAATTTATTTCGTAAAACAGCTCAAACAATGGACGATATGGTTTATCAATGCAGCAATCAGAACTCGATTTACGTGCTCAATGCCGGCTACAATCCAACATATGGTGTAAGTTTTTTTCAGAAAATCTTTAGGGTCAAATCGGTTGGTCAAGTGTCGATTTTTTGCAGGAGTTTGGCGCACATGCGTTGGCAGCAACAGGGCGTGAAATGAATGGCAGCAGCAGCAGCGGCAGCAGGACAGCCAGCAATTCAATTGGGGCAAGTTGTTCAAGTGCCGCCTGCAGTTTGCAGCATAAATTCAAAACTTTTGGCACAGCCAACGGCAACTCGTCAGCAGCGGCAGCAACGGCAGCAACAGCCACATCAACAATAGCAAACCCAGCAGCAGCAGCAACAACAACAACAACTAGCTACGTAAATCCGGTCGCTACATCAATGTCAACCGCAATGTGTTCACCGGCAACGGCAGCGCTGCAGAAATTGTTCAATTGCAACGTCACAGTCGGTGGCGGCGGATCCATTGGCGACAACTGCCAAAATGTCAGCCACAGAAATCAGCAGCAGGGCCACAGCAACACTAACAACAACAACAATTGCCCAGTCGGGAGCCATAACAATAGCTGCCTGTCAGCAACAGCCTCGCATAGATGCCGCTGCGTTGCGCACGAGGACGCTGCAAATGGAACTGCCATTGGAAATGGAAATGGGAGTGGATGTGGATGTGGATGTAAAAGTGGATGTGGAAGTGGAAACGGTGTGGCAACAGCAGCAGGTGCACTTCCGTTGCTTGGCGCCGTGGCCAACAGGAAGAAATGCACCAATGTCAAATCAACGCTTATTGCCAAGAAGACAAAGTTTTTGAAAATTCTCGAAGAAGAGAAATGGCGCAGCAACCAGCAGCAGCAGCAGCTGACACCGGATGAGGCGGAAGCTTGCGGTGCCACACAGCAGCCCAGCAGGTAGGTACTTGCCACAGCACCACCCCCCGCCTCACCCACCCGCAGTCTCCTCTCCTGCACTACTCTGTGGCAAAACTTATAAATTCTCATAAATGTTATAAGGCATATTGCGGTGCTAAAATTGTGGGCAACTTTTTTTATAGGAGGGGGAGCACAAGTTTATTGGACCAACGGAATTTGGCGAGTTGCTTTCTGCCGCCCACCTCAGGCGCCAGGTCCACCAACAAAGTATGCGCTGGCATGACAACAACTTTGTCATTAAGTTGGCCACGCAGATATGAGACTTGGCCAAAGCGAAGGCTAAATAAAAATCTTATTAGAGACAGTATTGACTGGCTCGAACGATTGCAGCAATCGAAAGCAGAGGATTTAACGCGAAATCATGTAATCGATAGGAAAGGAAATATCGAAGTGGGAGATAATATAAATGCGAAATTATCGTAATAAGATATTATCGAAATGAGAAATTATCGAAATGAGAGCATACCGAAAGGAAGGATAATCGAAAAGAGAGGTTGTCGAAAAAAGGCATTATAGAAATAAGAGATTCTCAAATTGAGGAATTATCGATCAAAGAGATGATCGAAATGAGGGATTATCGATAACGGAGATTATCGAAATTAGGGATTGTTTTAATTAGGGATTATCGATAAATGCAAAGTCTTGAACGCATGCAGATGGATTTCATTTATGTCTATAGAGATTTAATTGTAAATTAAAGACAGATTTCATATATCTGTAAAAACATTTGATTGAAGATTAAGAATTTGAGACATGCTACCAAGTTGGAAGCTACATTCTTGGGCTATGAGCTTTAAGTGCGCTTTATTGTAAGCAGTCGAAACCAGCTTAAAGCTTGTGCTTTAAAGCTCTCTTTAGTAATTTGTAGTACAAGGCAGAGTCGAACTTTCCGTTTAAAACCAAAATGAGCTTTTTTAGCATTCAATAGTGTTGAACAAGATTTTAAGTGGCTGCTGTTTAACACTAAATACACGTACTCAGGCTTAATCTAATATTTATTGCTAATACCCTCGATTTGATTAGATTTTTTTCGACTGCACGCATAAAATGCTCCATAAATATTTAGTTTTATCTCTCGATTTATTATTTATTTGAATGTTTTGAAGAGTAGACAAAGTCATCAACACGTTCGGTGCCCTGGGGAGGGGAAGGACGCATCTTTATGACAGTCACGCCGCAAAATGAGCTCAACTTGGCGCTAACTTGTTTTCTGTGCTGGCTACCACAGTGCCCAGCGGCTGTTTAAACGCATTCAATTAGCTGTCCACGATGTGGCACTGACTACTTCGCATAGCCCCGCACAGCCTCGACTCACCCCGTCCCTTGTTTGGCCAGTGCCAGTTTTGTTGCATTGTTCATGAAGTCATAAGTTTTGATCATCAGCGCTTAGCACGGACTAACTTTCTGTACGACGAGGGGCGTGAGAGGGTGTGTGTCAAGTGTATGGGAGGGGATAAGGTGGCCTGTACAGGGCATAGTCGTTTAGTTGGCTCAGCCATTTGCGAAATTGAAAAATTAACGCGCTAACAGAAAGTCGGTGGAGCGCTTAACGTGCCAATAGGGTCCATACCCGATAGTAGGGGGAATGGAGAGTGTGGGGTATTTCGCCTGCCTGGCATCATAAAGTTGATTAAAATGCATGCCACACACATGTTGCAGCTTGAAACTTGCAACAGCAACAGCAGCAGCAGTTTGGCTGCCTGCACACAATATTGAAGTGCAATAATCATATTTCAATAGCTAACGGGCTGCCGGGGATTTGTGGGCGTGGCTGCACAAAAATAAAAGTTAACGCGAAACTTGCATTTTGCCAGCAGCCACTACCCTTTACCACCCCTCCTCCGCCCCAACCCCCCGGCCCATTTTACACTTGTAACATTTGCTGACAAACACAAAGGAGCCCAATAATAATTTGCGCCAACTTCCTCACAGAGCTCACGAGTCCTAGCCTAGTAATTATGTCAAAGTTCAAAGCGTTGAATATTTCATTAGTTGCAACCGAGCGCGGTGCAACGGGGCGGAGGAGGAAGGTGGGCATGGTCGCGGGGCACTTGAAGCACCAAAGTTCCTTTGATTTATTAGCGACTTTAATTAGAACGAGCCGTCTGCAGGGAAATGCACTCGGCCTTTTCCTTTGCCCCGTTTTTTACAGTTGATTACAAGAGAATTCGCTGCACCATTCATCAGGTCTGTTATGCGTGAGGGGCGGGCGGGGAGGAGCTGAAAGGGTCACAGCGCTTGGCGACAACTCCATCAAGTTGCTTCAAGTGTGCCAAGATAACTTTGCGAAACATTTTCTTTGAATTAAAAAAAAAAAAAAAGTTTGTCGCTCAGTTTGCAACTATTTTGCATTTTTGCGTCGCAGCCCCATAACGCCCCCTCCCCCCTGCCAAGAACTGATAAGCGGCTCTCAGCGCAAGGACAGGCGACTCTTTTCTTAATGGCCTCCACTGCAGCTGGTGCCAACCAAAAGGCCCAGGTGGAAGGGTGGATAGCAGGATCTTTCGGAAACTTTCAGTTGCAGTACGCATAGTTTAACAGCTGCCAACTGTGTGGCAACCCTGAAAGATATACAGCACATTAGATGGCAGCCCTGAAATGTGCACGTCACATTAGATGTCAGCCCAGAAATGCATGCATCACATTTGATGTTAGCCCAGAAATGCATGCATCACATTAGATGACAACCCCAAAATGTACACAATACATTAGATGGCAACCCTGAAATGTATATATCACATTAGATAACATCCCATTGCACACTGAACAAAAATACTGTTTAAATAAAAAATACTCTATCCGATCGGAATGCGGTATTTTTTGTAGTTTGTCTTCCTTTTTCTGATATTCATAAATATACTCATACTTTTCATACTTTTTTCGTATACTCGTATATTTAAATGTACCTTTAACAGAAAACTTATGCATTAAAGATGCCTCTCATCACTTCTGTACAATTCTAACTTCTTCACCTCCTAAGTAGAGACTTCTGTTCCCTAAAAATTAAATTGTCGAAAAGCGCATTTTCCCCAGCTTTAAGTTCTTTAAAGCGACTACAGCTTAGGCTTAAATTAAAGCGCGCTGAATAATGTGCTACGTTTTATTTCAATTTGCATACCTCTCTCTCACTCATCTCTCATCTGCGTCCTAGCCCATATCCTGGCCCACTATTGCCGCCCCTTTAGTGGATACGCTTCCTGTGTTGCCTGCTCCTGGTTCCTGTTCATTTGTGCATTGGGCGTTTAGTTTAGTCAACCAAAAGCTAAATACAGGACGAGTAAACTTTTCATTTCAGGGCCAACAGCAATGGGGCGGATCCCCACGCAGCGGCCGCATCATCATTTGCAGCTCACTCAGCCGGCAAGGATAACAACAGCAACATGAAAAATCACAACAGCAACAACAACAACAACAACAGTCAAGAGGCAGCAGGCGTGGGAGCTGGAGCTGGAGTTGGAGCAGAACAACAGCAAAATAAATTGAACAATTGGAGCATGCATAATGACAACAACAACAAGTTGGCCAACTACACGCAACAACAGGAACGCGGTGCAGGCGAACGGAAGCTGGAGAGTTATAAACAAGCCAACAGGTCCTCCAGCTATGAGCTGTACCAGGAGGCGGCGGAGATACTAGGACTGAGCTGCAGCCTCTGTGATAATTGCCGTTGCTTGGACTGCCAGGTGCGTATTTTCAGAGTTGAGAAGGCGTTAGAGAGAGGGGCACCCCTGGACCCACAAAACTAAACAAGTATTACAACCCACAGAGCGGGTACTTTGATTGCGCCGATGATGATGACGAGAGCTACTCGGAGCAATCACTGATGGATGAGTACGACGATGAATACGACTATGGCTACGGCTACGAAGAGCAGATGCTGCTCCCGGCCGGCCACACTAATCAGTCAGCCATGACACAGGCGGAGGGGCAACGGGAGCGAGACTCGGAACAGGAGCAGCAGTTGGAGCTGTGCTATGCAGTTGATTGCCAACAGAATTGCAGCAAAGTTGACGGCCCATCAGAGTCGCAGGAGTCCGGATCCGAGTGGATGTCGAAGTCTGAACAACGCTTGGCCATAGATTTTGATTTAATTAATGCAACCAGCAGCCAAGTGCTGGAAAATTGTTCAACATTCAACGATTTAAGTTTATTGGATGCCGAACAGCAAGCGAAGCCATTTACGTAAATTAAGGTGGGTGTTAAGTGTGTGTGTGCGTGTGTGTGTGTGTGTGCGCCTTTTGCATGCCAAAATACTTTAAGCCATAATCCTTTAGCAAATATGGTCAACAAAAGAGCGTTAGCATAGAAAGTCATGTTTCTGGTTTCACTTTTGTTTCACTCACACTGAAATGCATAGCAAAAGTTTTGCTATACTTAACAGCATACTAGACTGCATCGCAGGTTGTAAGCAGCATTTGTGCAATCCAACCTGAGCTTTAAACCTTGAACTAATTTAAAACAATTTACAAATTCCATTGTAAAACAGTTCAGAGCTCAACCTGGCTGCCATCATTATATTTTCAAATTTCAATTTCGCTTTACTTTTGCATAGCATACACTTGAGAACCTGTAACACCATACCAGTCTACACTCCCACTTCAGCCTTCAGGGCTGCGCTAATTTTAACTTCAACACATTGTTTAATTCAAAATTCATTTTTGTGTTCTTATGAACATCAGCAAGAAGTGTGTGCAACACAATACCAGCCTCCATTTCAATTTAGATGCCAAATCAAAATCGGATGAGATTTGACCGAGTTATGGAAGTGGGAAGCTTCGCACTATGTCTATATGGGATATTTGAGGGTACCGTTTTTACATGAATTTGGACCAAAAATTATGTTGTCAGATTTAGATGCACAATTGATCTAGAGGCCAAACCATGAACAAAAAGACAAACCTTATGGAAATCGGTTGAGTTTTGACCGAGTTTTGGGGTTAGGAAATTTCGACCTATGTCTATATGCGATATTTGAGGGTACCATATTTACATGAATTTGGACCAAAAATTATGTTGTCAGATTTAGATGCACAATTGATCTAGAGGCCAAACCATGAACAAAAAGACAAACCTTATGGAAATCGGTTGAGTTTTGACCGAGTTATGGGGTTAGGAAATTTCGACCTATGTCTATATGCGATATTTGAGGGTACCACAATTACATGAATTTGGACCAAAAATTATGTTGTCAGATTTAGATGCACAATTGATCTAGAGGCCAAACCATGAACAAAAAGACAAACCTTATGGAAATCGGTTGAGTTTTGACCGAGTTATGGGGTTAGGAAATTTCGACCTATGTCTATATGCGATATTTGAGGGTACCACAATTACATGAATTTGGACCAAAAATTATGTTGTCAGATTTAGATGCACAATTGATCTAGAGGCCAAACCATGAACAAAAAGACAAACCTTATGGAAATCGGTTAAGTTTTGACCGAGTTATGGGGTTAGGAAATTTCGACCTATGTCTATATGCGATATTTGAGGGTACCACATTTACATGAATTTGGACCAAAAATTATGTTGTCAGATTTAGATGCACAATTGATCTACAGGCCAAACCATGAACAAAAAGACAAACCTTATGGAAATCGGTTGAGTTTTGACCGAGTTATGGGGTTAGGAAATTTCGACCTATGTCTATATGCGATATTTGAGGGTACCATATTTACATGAATTTGGACCAAAAATTATGTTGTCAGATTTATATGCACAATTGATCTAGCGGCCAAACCATGAACAAAAAGACAAACCTTATGGAAATCGGTTGAGTTTTGACCGAGTTATGGGGTTAGGAAATTTCGACCTATGTCTATATGCGATATTTGAGTGTACCATATTTACATGAATTTGGACCAAAAATTATGCTGTCAGATTTAGATGCATAATTGATCTAGAGGCCAAACCATGAACAAAAAGACAAACCTTATGGAAATCGGTTGAGTTTTGACCGAGTTATGGGGTTAGGAAATTTCGACCTATGTCTAAATGCGATATTTGAGGGTACCACATTTACATGAATTTGGACCAAAAATTATGTTGTCAGATTTAGATGCACAATTGATCTAGAGGCCAAACCATGAACAAAAAGACAAACCTTATGGAAATCGGTTGAGTTTTGACCGAGTTATGGGGTTAGGAAATTTCCACCTATGTCTATATGCGATATTTGAGGGTACCACATTTACATGAATTTGGACCAAAAATTATGTTGTCAGATTTAGATGCACAATTGATCTAGAGGCCAAACCATGAACAAAAAGACAAACCTTATGGAAATCGGTTGAGTTTTGACCAAGTTATGGGGTTAGGAAATTTCGACCTATGTCTATATGCGATATTTGAGGGTACCACATTTACATGAATTTGGACCAAAAATTATGTTGTCAGATTTAGATGCACAATTGATCTAGAGGCCAAACCATGAACAAAAAGACAAACCTTATGGAAATCGGTTGAGTTTTGACCGAGTTATGGGGTTAGGAAATTTCGACCTATGTCTAAATGCGATATTTGAGGGTACCATATTTACATGAATTTGGACCAAATATTATGTTGTCAGATTTAGATGCACAATCGATCTAGAGGCCAAACCATGAACAAAAAGACAAACCTTATGGAAATCGGTTGAATTTTGACCGAGTTATGGGGTTAGGAAATTTCGACCTATGTCTAAATGCGATATTTGAGGGTACCACATTTACATGAATTTGGACCAAAAATTATGTTGTCAGATTTAGATGCACAATTGATCTAGAGGCCAAACCATGAACAAAAAGACAAACCTTATGGAAATCGGTTGAGTTTTGACCGAGTTATGGGGTTAGGAAATTTCGACCTATGTCTATATGCGATATTTGAGGGTACCATATTTACATGAATTTGGACCAAAAATTATGCTGTCAGATTTAGATGCACAATTGATCTAGAGGCCAAACCATGAACAAAAAGACAAACCTTATGGAAATCGGTTGAGTTTTGACCGAGTTATGGGGTTAGGAAATTTCGACCTATGTCTATATGCGATATTTGAGGGTACCATATTTACATGAATTTGGACCAAAAATTATGCTGTCAGATTTAGATGCACAATTGATCTAGAGGCCAAACCATGAACAAAAAGACAAACCTTATGGAAATCTGTTGAGTTTTGACCGAGTTATGGGGTTAGGAAATTTCGACCTATGTCTATATGCGATATTTGAGGGTACCACATTTACATGAATTTGGACCAAAAATTATGTTGTCAGATTTAGATGCACAATTGATCTAGAGGCCAAACCATGAACAAAAAGACAAACCTTATGGAAATCGGTTGAGTTTTGACCGAGTTATGGGGTTAGGAAATTTCGACCTATGTCTATATGCGATATTTGAGGGTACCACATTTACATGAATTTGGACCAAAAATTATGCTGTCAGATTTAGATGCACAATTGATCTAGAGGCCAAACCATGAACAAAAAGACAAACCTTATGGAAATCGGTTGAGTTTTGACCGAGTTATGGGGTTAGGAAATTTCGACCTATGTCTAAATGCGATATTTGAGGGTACCACATTTACATGAATTTGGACCAAAAATTATGTTGTCAGATTTAGATGCACAATTGATCTAGAGGCCAAACCATGAACAAAAAGACAAACCTTATGGAAATCGGTTGAGTTTTGACCGAGTTATGGGGTTAGGAAATTTCGACCTATGTCTATATGCGATATTTGAGGGTACCACATTTACATGAATTTGGACCAAAAATTATGTTGTCAGATTTATATGCACAATTGATCTAGAGGCCAAACCATGAACAAAAAGACAAACCTTATGGAAATCGGTTGAGTTTTGACCGAGTTATGGGGTTAGGAAATTTCGACCTATGTCTATATGCGATATTTGAGGGTACCACATTTACATGAATTTGGACCAAAAATTATGTTGTCAGATTTAGATGCACAATTGATCTAGAGGCCAAACCATGAACAAAAAGACAAACCTTATGGAAATCGGTTGAGTTTTGACCGAGTTATGGGGTTAGGAAATTTCGACCTATGTCTATATGCGATATTTGAGGGTACCACATTTACATGAATTTGGACCAAAAATTATGTTGTCAGATTTATATGCACAATTGATCTAGAGGCCAAACCATGAACAAAAAGACAAACCTTATGGAAATCGGTTGAGTTTTGACCGAGTTATGGGGTTAGGAAATTTCGACCTATGTCTATATGCGATATTTGAGGGTACCACAATTACATGAATTTGGACCAAAAATTATGTTGTCAGATTTAGATGCACAATTGATCTAGAGGCCAAACCATGAACAAAAAGACAAACCTTATGGAAATCGGTTGAGTTTTGACCGAGTTATGGGGTTAGGAAATTTCGACCTATGTCTATATGCGATATTTGAGGGTACCACAATTACATGAATTTGGACCAAAAATTATGTTGTCAGATTTAGATGCACAATTGATCTAGAGGCCAAACCATGAACAAAAAGACAAACCTTATGGAAATCGGTTGAGTTTTGACCGAGCTATGGGGTTAGGAAATTTCGACCTATGTCTATATGCGATATTTGAGGGTACCACATTTACATGAATTTGGACCAAAAATTATGTTGTCAGATTTAGATGCACAATTGATCTAGAGGCCAAACCATGAACAAAAAGACAAACCTTATGGAAATCGGTTGAGTTTGACCGAGTTATGGGGTTAGGAAATTTCGACCTATGTCTATATGCGATATTTGAGGGTACCATATTTACATGAATTTGGACCAAAAATTATGTTGTCAGATTTATATGCACAATTGATCTAGAGGCCAAACCATGAACAAAAAGACAAACCTTATGGAAATCGGTTGAGTTTTGACCGAGTTATGGGGTTAGGAAATTTCGACCTATGTCTATATGCGATATTTGAGTGTACCATATTTACATGAATTTGGACCAAAAATTATGCTGTCAGATTTAGATGCACAATTGATCTAGAGGCCAAACCATGAACAAAAAGACAAACCTTATGGAAATCGGTTGAGTTTTGACCGAGTTATGGGGTTAGGAAATTTCGACCTATGTCTAAATGCGATATTTGAGGGTACCACATTTACATGAATTTGGACCAAAAATTATGTTGTCAGATTTAGATGCACAATTGATCTAGAGGCCAAACCATGAACAAAAAG